CAGAACAACCTCCTGGACAGCAACCAATCTGGCTTCAAAAGCGGCCACTCAACTGAGACTGCCCTGCTCTCGGTAACTGAAGCCCTGAGACTGGCAAGAGCAGCTTCCAAATCTTCAGTACTCAACTTGCTGCATCTGTCTGCTGCTTTTGACACAGTCTGGCTGGATGAAGGATCATCACCTTCAACTCAACCTTGCTAAGACAGAACTGCTCGTGGTTTCAGCCAACCCAGCACTTCATCACAACCTCTCTATACAGCTGGGTTCCTCAACCATAACTCCTTCCAGGACAACCAGGAACCTTGGAGTTGTGATCGATGATCAGTTAAGCTTCACCGACCATATTGCTACAACGGCCCGGTCCTGCAGATTTGCCTTATACAATATTAGGAAGATTAGACCCTTCTTGTCAGAGCAGATTAGACCCTTCCGCACAACTTCTTGTCCAAGCTCTTGTTCTCTCCAGACTGGACTATTGTAATGCTCTCTTGGCGGGCCTTCCCGCATGTACTATCAAGCCTCGGCAACTGATCCAGAATGCAGCAGCGAGAGTGGTCTTCAATGAGCCAAAAAAATTATATGTAATTTCCGTTTATATTGGTGCAATATGTAATTGCACCAATATACCTAAACCCGCTAGTACAGACTTATGCGCCCTCCAGAAGCTTGCGTTCTGCAAGTGAACGGCGCCTTGCGGTGCCATCCCAAAGAGGCACAAAATCACTATCACGGACCTTTTCCTGGACTGTGCCCAGCTGGTGGAATGACCTCCCGATCTCAATTCGAACAAGCTGAGTCTTTAGCCATTTTCAAAAAACATCAAAAGACACATCTTTTTCGCCAGCACCTGACCAACTAATACTAGCACTTACCTATTCTATTCTGTTCTGTTCTATTCCATTGTATTATTAAAAAAAAAAAAACCCTAGCTACGTGTACTGTGCTAGACTAATTGAGACTTGTCATGGCACTTGTATACTGTTGTTGTTCTCTCGTTGGTCTGATTGCTTCTATTGTTCTCATTTGTAAGTCGCTTTGGATAAAAGCGTCTTCTAAATGATTAAATGTTAAATGTTAAGTCTCAAATTCAAATAAATACAAACTAAATAAAAAGTAACAAATACATTAATAAATAAAAATACTGTAAATAAATTATAAATATTAGTCTCAATATGAAAACTATAAACACAAGCGCAATAAAAACTAACAAAAAACATTAAAAAATAAATATTACCCAGATTCTATAAATAAATTCTATAAATAAATACTATTGAGTTCCAATATAAATACAAACTAAATTAAATAAATAAATAAATAATGAATAACTGAATGAATGTAAATGAAATTCTATAAATATATGAATTAAATAAATACTATTCAGTCTCAATGTGAACACTATAAATAAATAATGAATAAATAAATAAACACTAGCTAGATTATATAAATAAATTCTATACCATTGAGTTTCAATGTGAACACTATAAATACAACTAAATAAAATTAATAATTAAATAAATACTACCCAGATTCTATAAATAAATTCTGTAAGATACAATCGAGTTTCAATGTGAACACTATAAATACAAACAAATTAAATGATTGAATGAATGAATGAATGAATGTAAATAAATTTTATAAACGAATACTATTCAATCTTAATATTGTCACACACTGTGTCTGAGAGAACGACGGAGACGTGAATCAGAGAAACAGTCTTTAATAAATCCAAAACAAGGGGTAATCCACACTAGGAATGACCGTGACACATGAACATGACGTTAGTAGACCCGACAAAGACAGACAGCACAGACTGGGACTTAAATACATGGGGTAATGAGGATAATTACAAGACACACCTGGATGACATGAACACAATCAAGCACGGGAGAAACTGGGTCACGGAGCACATGGAGAGGGAAAACACAACAAAACAGGTCCATATTCCTGACAAATATGAACACTACAAACTCAAACTAAATAAAAACTAACAAATGAATGAATAAATGAATGAATATTCAAATAAATATTAAAATCATAAAAATGAACAAACACTAATAAACAAATGAAATAATATTGTTGCATCTCAATATTGCCACTATAAATACAAACTAACTAAATAAACAAAAAAAATATAAAACCTAAATAAAAAGTAAACAAACGAATGAATGAATGGCTACTATCCAGATTAATTTTACTCTGACTCAGATATT